ACAGCCAAGAGCTCAGTTTATAAGTGTGTGTTAATAACATCTAGCAAAACTGTCCAAAGGAAACATTTGTTGGTCTGTCACCATTATGTAGGAATTGCTAATACCATGCAGTCAGGTGGCAGGTAACAATCAGGCTATATCGTACATCTGGATAAAATTACCTTTTTGGTTAACAAACTGTGTAAAATTACCCAGTTTGGTTAACCTTGAATTCCTCCTAGTCTCTGGAGAGTTTATGTCCCCAATTCCTTGAACTATATAAGAAGATGATTGCTATAGTATTTTATTTTGGTTGTGCGCACATGAAACAGGGCGAACTGGTAATACACCAGAGACTGTGCAGAGCAGCAGCTGTTACACTTTCAGAGAGCGTTACTGAGCTTTTTATAGTTGGCTGCAGTTGACATCATGGCTAAATAGAGTCTCGCTTTAAAACACATTCCACCCAGACTATGCAGCCCTGAAGTCATGCATTGCTGGGAGGAAGGAGGCTCACAGGAAACCACGCAACGCCAGAGCGGCAGTAAAAGCACGGGAACGTGTCCCTTGCCCCGCATCCATTCTGAGGAGCGCTGCTGAAAGGCTTCTTCAGGAAGACCAACAGCCTCGGGAGAATAACGACAGGAGTGAAACTATTCATCTCTGGACCCAGCCTTCAAACCTGGTTCAGGTCAGCAGTGAGTGACGGCTGGTGTGGCCTAGCAAGCGGGCAGCTTCGCTAGCTCCTCACGGATGAGTGTCCAGACCACATGAGGCTAAAAACCACAGTTGCTGCCTTCCACTGTTACCGCTGCTGCAGCTGTGACGCTGCTCGAAGCCGGGGACAAGCGCAACGCCTGCCTGTTCCTCGCCACCTCCACAACCTCTGTAGCTAACAGAGGAGCTTTGGGGACAGAGGAATGAATTTGGGCCAGCATAGCCCAAACTGCAACGGTCCACAGACTCACTCAGGTTACTATAGCATGTAAAAAGCTACATAATTCATCAGCCTGCTACAGCGAGATAATTTGCTTCTTCCCTATGCCTGCTTGGCATCTCCGTCCAGCTAGCAATAACGCCAGCCTGTGGCGCTGAAGTATTGCATCCTAATTGAGTATCTTTCCTCCAAGTAGCCAAATTCCTTCCAGATTCCCTCTTCTCTTTCCATCATCACATCTGTTGGCTGACAACAGATGTGATGAAATAAGAATAGGACCAACCGCTGTGACTACTTTATGTAACTGAATCTCTTCCATGTGGCTTATTTCAAGGACATTTTTCGTTCAGTTTCGTTCAAGGATGTTGCTCATGGGACTTCCCGTGTGAAACAAGATACGCAAATTAGGGTATGACAGAATAGCATTGGCCCAAACACTGCTGAAGAAAGGTTTAGTGCAGCAATTTCACCAATGCTGTCTGGAAGAGGTCTAGCCCTAAAACCTCCTAAATCCATCCTGTGCCTGCATGTCTCTGAATGACTGTATTAATACATTGCTGGACAAACTCTGTGCGAATGGCCTGGATTTCCTGAGGCACCTTCCGCAGTTTAACATGCATTGCACCTCCCGTTTGACTCTGACTGAAGACAGTTGGGCTTTTGGCTATGTTTCTTCTGAGATCCTAACACACCTCTCTCTTCCCCTGCTCTGTTTCGTATTGCAGGGACCCACGGTCTTGACAAGACTTGCAGTCAAAAGGCTGGCGAACGTTAGCCCGTGTTCGCCATGAAAGTCTGCGGAGGCCGAGACGGTGCATCACCGCAGTCTGAGAGCCTTCCTTGCGCGTGGGTTACACGGTGTGCCAAAAACGGCATGGGCAAGAGTTCCTGGTACAGTCCCAGCCCTCTTTACAATCCGTCACTGTTTACTGGTCTCAAAGGGTGTTAAGATTTGACCGTCAGAGAAAACTGCAGGAAGCATAAGCCTCATCTTTGCTAGAAAATGCACCGTAGCCAAGCGAGTCGGCCCCGGGCCAGCAAGGCAGGCAGGAGCGGTCGGCGCTGCCTTGCCCCCTCCCACGTCCAAGGAGTTGCTGCCTCAACGCGTGACACGGAGAAACGCCGACGTGCACTGCGGCCTCTCCCCGGTGCCGGTGCTGCCCTCCTGATGTGGTGCTCCGGCCTGGGGGCCTATAGCCCCGCTCTTATAGCGTCAGCTATAAGGGACCTGGGATCCTGTTGCAGGCGCCTATAGGCCTGCTCTTACAGCACCAGCGTGGGCTGCTGCTGCAAGGGCTTCCCCCTCCACCCTGCGCTGGGGGCCTAGGACCAAATCTTCACTAGGATCTTCTGTCAGCCCAGCAGGGCAGTACAGCAGCAACGTCTCTAGTTTCACAAGCATAGCTCATATCCACACTAGGATTTGGACGTTGCTAACGTAGCGCACCGCTAAACAGGCCTAACGGAGGCACAATTTCACAGAAAA